ATAAAAATAAATAGATAAATGCAGTAATCACAATGATAACATTAATAATAAGAATATAATAGTGTTACAGTATAGCAGTGGGTCATAGCAGCAGTTGGTAGTGGACGGCAGGTGGAGTACATGTAAAGAATATATAAATGTAATATAATGACTATAATCACATTGATAATCTTAAAAGGTGGTAATACTAATAAATGAAAGATTGGTTGTGATTGGCAGGTGTGATATAATCACAATGTGATGTATTCTAAGAGAAGGTTGATCCACTGATTGATGTACAGTGATTTTTTTTTAGATTTCCAGTTTAGAAGGATTGTTTTCTTGGCCACAAAATCAAGGAGTGGACTTTTATATTTAAGTGGGAGACTGTCACTGAGCAAGCAGAGTGGTTGGGATGTAGAGATTCGTCAGCTCCACACAACGGAGAGTTTCTCTGCGACCAGTATCCAGAGGGAGTGAACTGGTCCCAGTGGAAGTCAGTGCTGCCCAAGGTGCAATGGGAGCATGTGTCAGTATCACGTAAACCCATTTTAAACACACATCTTGTGTGGCGTGAGTTCTGTGAATGGTCTTGTACTGTCTTGTATACATTTGTATTACTAGTCATAGAAAAGATATTGTTTCAGGTTTCAGTCCAGAAGTCAGGGCTGGGGGAGAGAGCCACATCCTTTTCCCATTTAGTTTTTGGTACTGTTATTGTTGTCTCTGTATTTGATACAAAGTTATTATTTTCCTGGAACTGGTCATTTTCATTTTCTCTTCAGTTTAGTTGGAAGGTTGCAGTGGGCTGTTGGTTCATCTTTGATTTAATTATGGATTTTAATTGTTGGTACTGGAAGAACTGTTCTCCCCCAGCCCAGTTCTTCTGAACTAGTACTTTTGTCTGCTCCTCTTCATGAGAATGGATAGATAACTGGGCAAACTGGGCAACTGCCCCACAGTTCCCATGTTCACGGCATGGAGACTGATTTGTTACCATAAATAGTAGTGGATTTGACAGTTAGTCATGCAGTAACAGATTTTTTTGGGCCACTTTGAACCCCGTTCACATTCATTCATTTGTTCATTCACACAATAAAGTAGCTCAAAGTGGTTCCCATGTAAATAAGTTAAACAAAGAAGCTCACAATACATCACATGGAATATGACAGTCAATAATAAAGAAGATAGTAATAATAAAGAAATAAAACAAAACCAAAGAATGAAAAGAGTATAACAGAATACACACACTAATTACAAGTCACTGAAAGATATATGTTTTCTGCTGTTTTTTAAAAGACGCTAATGACGTCATCTGTTTTATTTCCACTCGTAGGCTATTCCATAATTTGGGAGTAAAATTGGAAAAGGCTGCATCTCCAGTGTTTTTGTAGACACAATTTTGAGAAAGCTGATTTAAGTTTGAAGATCTTAAAACCGCTGGGCCCAAACAAACATGATACAATCATTTGCTGAGTTATTATAAAAACATTGACCACAGCAGCACTGGGCCCTGAAAAAAATCCCGTTTTAAATACTTTGTTGTATAATGTGCTCACCTGCTGCAGTTGCACATACTGTATCTACAGTGGCAAGAAAAAGTATGTGAACCTTTTGGAATTTTATGGTTTCCTGCATTAATTTGTCATAAAATGTGATCTGATCTTCATCTAAGTC